CCATGTAATACCCAAACCCACCCATTTAACATCCCTACACAAGACAAAGAATGCGAGAGAGCATCAGCTCTCTCACTTGTCACAACCATCCATTAGATTCATCAGCTAACGCAAAGACAATGGAGCTTTTGGGGCCGAGGCACCTCAATTGACGACACTCACATGAGACAGGCAACAAAACAACAAACAACCGACTAATCCAATTGATAAAATCGAAGAATCGCCCGCCAAACAGCCACCGAAGATCCCACGATCCTTACGAGCAGCGCAGCGTTCCGATCGAGGGCGTTGCTCCCGAAGATGACGGACGCATATGATTCACCTGGAGAAACCGCAACAAACACGAGTATATACTATATATATATATATATATAATATATATATATATATAATATATATATATATTATATTATGATCCCTCCAGCTTTCGATATCGCTCCATCGCTGAGCAGCCGACGCGACAAGAGCGATTATCCCCGCCACGGTCGATCGACCGCGGGTGCCGAGAACCTCTTCTCGTTCTGATTCTGTGCGAACTAAAGATTCGATGGGGTAAAAGAAGGAGAGGCGGTTCCGAAGCCAACAGCAGCGCGCGGCATTCGTTACGCGTCCCGTTTTCCCCCTCCCCCCCCCCCCCCCCCCCCCCCCCCCCCCCCCCCCCGCCCCCCCCCCCCTGGGGCCACGCTCAAGCTGCGTGGGCCCACGAAGATGGACAAAAGCGGAGCTCCGCCACGGGGCTCGCCCGCCGCCTGCAGGAGCTTCTCCCCAGCCCCCACCCCAAAAAAATAATAATGAACCATCCGAGAAAAAGGAAGGAAGCGAAGAATGAACGCCTCAAGCGTCCTGCCTGGTCCCCCACTCGCTCCGGCCTCGTTGATTGAACCAAAGCCCACCATCTTCCAAACCCGCTGATATCGCCCGACGGACTCCCTCCCCAGCTGAAGCAGATGCCACGCCCACCTTCCTCAAATCCCCCCGGTTCTCTCCAACCTGGCCCCCCCTACTCTCGCCAAACTCCTCTCCCCTCTCCGCCCTCTGACTTACGCCGCCTCCGCCCTTCTCGTCTCCCCCTCCTCCCCTCTCCCTCCCGCTCCTCCGTCTCCTCTCCGGGTCGCCCGGCGACGGCCCGTCTTAGAGCGCCCTCCTCTTCTACGCCCCGCATCCGGGCGGCACCGCGCCGTCGGCCTCGACCGCCTACTGGCTTCCCTCCGAGCTCTGCGGGCGCGCCAGCGACGGGCGTGGGAGCTGGGCTCGGGCAGCGGAGGTCCACGGGCGTCCTGTATGAAGGCTGGGGCGTGGGACCGACCCTTTTCGTGGAGACGGGCTTGGTGGCTTATCTACGCCGCGCGTGTTGGGCGCAGAGGGGACGCCGCGCAGCGGTATCCGCGTGCCGAAGCCGTTTTGACAGAATGCCTGTACCGGGGACTTGTGGCCTGGAGGCGTCATGTTGCGATGGGCTGGAGTTTTCTTTTGAGCCTTTTTTTTTTTTTTTCGCACGTTGATTTCGCCCGATGTGTTATGCGTGTGTGCTAACTGCATTTGGCAGATATTGTCAGACCGGTCGCTATAATGAAGCCCTCCGTCTGTTTGAAGAAATGAAGGGCTCGGGTCTTACTCCTGATCCTGTGATCCTCGCCACTGTCCTCAGTGCCTGCAGCCGCACTGGAAACCTCTGCTTTGGTCAGGCGATCCACTCCTACATTGCTGAAACCAACCTTCAGATCGACGGCCGCCTTCTAACTGCTCTCATCACTATGTACTCCAACTGTGGCTCAATGGAAACTGCTAAAAAACTCTACGATGGCCTCTCACCGAAAAACCCTGCTGCGTCAACCGCCATGGTCTTTGGCTATGCAAAGCTCAACCAGATTGAATTAGCTCGCTCCGTCTTTGATTCAATGGCTGACAAAGACCTTGTTGCTTGGAGCGCTATGATCTCTGGTTATGCAGAGAGTGACCGTCCCGCTGAAGCCCTCAAATTGTTCAATGAGATGCAGCTCTCAAATGTGCGTCCTGACAAGATCACAATGCTGAGTGTCATATCAGCTTGTGCCAATTTGGGTGCTCTCGACCAAGCCCATTGGGTCCATACCTATGTCAGCAACAACGGTTTCAATCGGGTCTTATCAGTGAACAATGCGCTCATCGACATGTTCTCAAAATGTGGTTCCTTGACGATTGCAAGGAAGATTTTCAACGAGATGCCAGAGAGAAACGTGATCACTTGGACAGCGATGATCACTGGGCTTGCAATGCATGGTGAGGGGACAACAGCAATCGCGCTTTTCGACCAGATGAAGCTTGAAGGAGTCAGGCCGAATAAAGTCACGTTCATAGGTTTACTCTATGCCTGTAGCCATTCTGGTCTAGTTGAAGAGGGCCAGAGAGTATTTGAGTCCATGTCTGTGGACTTCGGGCTCGAGCCTGAGCAGCAACACTGTGGTTGCATGGTTGATCTCTTCGGTCGAGCGAAGCTCTTTAAAGAAGCCATTGACCTCATCAACTCAATGCCCTTTCAACCAAATGTTGTAGTCTGGGGTTCGCTATTGTCAGCATGCAGATTACACGGAGAGGTTGAGCTTGGTGAGCTCGCAGCAAAGCGCATATTAGAGATGGACCCCGGTCATGACGGAGCTTACGTTCTGTTGTCAAACATTTATGCAAAGGCTGGAAGATGGAGAGATGTAGGAGAAGTGAGAAGGTCAATGAGATCGCAAGCAGTGTGGAAGGAGAGAGGGTGTAGCTGGATTGGATTGGATGGAGAGGTTCACGAGTTTTTGATGGCAGAAGAGTTGCATCCGAGATCGAAAGAGATTTACGAGAAGTTGGATGAGATGGTGAAGAAACTGGAGGACGCAGGCTACAGCCCACATATAGGGAGTGTGTTGGTGGATTTAGAAGAGGAGGAGAAGAGGAGGGCTGTTCTGTTGCATAGTGAGAAGCTGGCTCTTTCATTTGGATTGATCAGTACTGGTAAAGGTGCAAGCATTAGGATTGCAAAGAATTTGAGGGTTTGTGAGGATTGCCACAGTTTTATGAAGTTGGCATCCAAGGTATTTGAGAGGGAGATTATAGTGAGAGACAGAACAAGATTTCATCACTACAGAAATGGGGTTTGTTCATGCGGAGATTTTTGGTGAATTCATATTATAGCGGTGTTTTCTGCACTTATTTGTTAACATCGGAACGTTGTGACATTAGTCGCCCAAAATGTTGCCGATGGAGAGAAACATAGCCTGAGGAGCTCATCACGTAATGCGAGCAATTTCTCCCAGAATCTGAGCATTCTGCTGAGTTGCTACTAGTACTATACTATGGTTAGGAAGTGTAAATCCCCTACGACTTTGATTGCAAAGAAATCCTACAAATATATTACGCATACATTAAAATCTCTTTCCTCTGTGGGCCCATGAAACTCATTTTTTGTTGCATGATTTACTATTTGCCAAGTGATAATAGGTAGGGGTGAGCATAGGAGCAAACCGATTAAACCGACCGAACCGATCGAAAATTGGCGGAGAATGTTTGATTCGGTTTAAGAAAACTTGAAATTGAAATAACTGAACAGGACTGCTTTCTATATATTTGTCTATAACGCGTTTTTTTATAGTTTAAATGTAACTTTTAACTAATATTCTTATCTATCTTTGTCGATGAAAATTCAACTTTAGTTGTAAAAGCGGTTGTTTTGACAAGTTTGCTCTCTAAATTAGGATACAAGATGAATGATGAAGGAGAGAGAGTATTCAGTTTTAGCTAAAATTGTTCTAACTTGACATGTCTAGGCTCAAACCAAACAAACCGAACTGAACCACACTGAATCGATTTGGATCAGATTGCTTATATTTTGAATTTGGTTCGGTTTAGAAAAAATAATCAAAACTGATCAAACCGACCGTTTGCTTACCCCTAATAATAGGTTATAATCTACGGCGAGACATATAGAGAGCATGTTTGACAACTTCGGATTATAATCCACTTGGTTTATAATCCATTTGACACTTGGCTTATAATCCATTTGTGGATTATAATCCAAGTGGACTATAAGGCAAATTGATTGGTAAACTTAGCGGATTGTAATCCATTATTTATAGTAGAGTATTTGATGAACGTGTATCTTATAAGCCGTCATTGTTGTCAAAATGACCGAGAAACATTCAATTGGGTTGAAAAGAGATAGATGGGGCTTGAAATTTTTTGAAATGATGAGGAGTATGTTGATCTTTTACTCGGTCAAACCTTGTTGCTTATAATCCAAAATAAATCATTTGACAAACATGTCAAAATGATTTATAAGCCATACTCGGCTTATAAGCCACTTTGACCACTAGCCAAACAATGCTCCGTGGCTGGGATTCTTAGAGCGTTCTTAGTTACAAAGGAATCCTACACTTTATTTACACCAATAACATTATTTTATTTCTTGCAATCCAGGAACAAAATGTTTGTTTGAGCTTTACCAATAAAACCCCTTAATTGTGGGGACCCACTGAATGAAGCAATATTATTTGACCCTGTAAGGCTGTAACTAATTGTAGGATTTATCTACAATTAAGAATGTATGGAATCTACAACTATTATCGTTTCCATAATGTAAAGAAGATTTAGAATAAAGAAACTATAATTAATCTATAGTTTGGAGAAATTGTCAGCATTATTCATATAAACACAAACTTGTTTAGTTTCTTCAAATATATCGATTTTTGTTAAGGGGTTTTTTGGTTCATTTTCCATTTTATTGAGAAACATCATTCTATGTAAGAAACCTAAGTTTTAGTTTTCCAAAATTTTCCAAAGTTAAAAAAAAAAACATTGTTGATGTTTGGTTCACACATAAACCATGGTGGGAACTAATTTACACACTTTTATTGTGTTTGGTTGGTATCTAAAACAATGAGAAAACTTTTGTTGATTAGACATTTTACACTTTTTTTGTGTTTGGTTGGTATTGAAGTTTGTAAGAAAAAATGTATATGGTCATCATGGTAAGTTTATCTCTCACTAAAGATAAAATTTTTTGTGATCGTTATGAGTGGTAATCTTACTGTAGGCGGTCTAAAAATCACAATAGATAGCTTATCCAAACAAGCTCCGACAATGGAGGTCACAATCAGACGACTTCCTAATCACTGCATCCGCAACTCCACAATTGCCACAAACACGACCTCATTTCTGAGATGATTGATCTTGATGGCTGCGACAACAGCATGAGATGTTGATGAGCTCACAATCTACAGTGAAAGTTACAATCTGACGGCTTTCACACCCCACAACAGCTAAAGCTAGGATTATTGAACAACGGTCCTTGCAACGCTCTACAGAAGAAGTTACAAATCAGCTAACTCCTTCTGAAACGCGGGTGTCATCCCCGCGTCATAACTTTGGAAATGAAGGCGACCCTCGCGTCGTCAATGCACAAGCCAAACGTGAGCGACCCTCGCGTTCAATGGTGTTCAACCAACAGCGACCCTCGCGTCGTCAATGCACAAGCCAAACGTGAGCGACCCTCGCGTTCAATGGTGTTCAACCAACAGCGACCCTCGCGTCGACAATGCACAAGCCAAACGTGAGCGACCCTCGCGTTCAATGGTGTTCAGCTAACACCCAACTTCGCGTCTTAATTCAAAGAACACGAAGTAGAGGTTCTGAACGCCAGAATGGGCGTTTGACTTATTCAAACATAAGTCGAACGGTTCCAAAACCGTTTATCCCACGTTCTGAGGGATTTTCGCCCACGTAGGAGCGGATATAGGAGTCAGTTACAATCTCCTATCCCCCTATAAAAGCTCAACAAACCCAACGGAGTAAAGGGTTGGATCATCAGAATCTAAACCAGACGAGTTGGTTAAAGGGGCTGGCTCTTTAAAAACTAAGAGGTGAGGGATCGGATTTTTGATAATCAGATCAAGGGTTGGATTCTTCATCATCAAAACCACTCAGGTTTGGAGATTCGGCAACAACAGCAACGAAATCCTTGGAGATAGGATTTTTGAACCAACCTCAGAAAATCAAATCTGAGAGAATCCTTCAACAACAGAAAAACAGCTTGATTATTAACCGAATTTTCGGTTCCAACAACTCTATTCACAGAGTTCAAACTCGTTCAGAGTTCTTAAACTCATTCAGAGTTATTCATAAAACTTTCCACGAAAGTTCATCGTTCCCACGAGATAAAGACGGTCGGATCGTCAACGGAGAGCAAGTTCGACGCAATCAATCGAAGGAAGCACTCCATCGCTGCCAAGAAGAACCCAGTTTTAAACAAAGGGGAAAACCAAATTCGTTTTCCTCTCTTTTGTAATCAAATTGTAACCGAGATCAAAGGAATCAAAGTCAAATTTTCTTTATTTTCTTCTTTGCAATTTTCCCTACCTACAAAAGATGTCGACTCTGCTGGGGACTAGCTTTTCCGACGATGAAGTGGTGGCTCAGTCCGACGTCCACCTCATGGGAACGACTGTAGAAACTCTTGTCGTAGAGTTTGATCAAGCGAAATACGAGGAAGCCCTATCCTCTGGATCGCTTAGCCCCAAGGCTAAGCATGGTGTCCGCAAGATCTCCAAGGAGATCAATTCTGTTGTTGAAGAGCCGAAGAAAGCCCTCTCCTTCGGCCAGGAACTCAAACTGGCTCTGATGGCGGAAGATCCCACCTCCGTATTAGCAAGACGTGCTTCAGGCCACAAACGGCCTCTGGAGGAGACGAGTCCTGTAAACGTCAATGACGTTGCTGCAAAGGCTTTGAAACAAGCCAAGAAGAACGCCGCTCGCCGACGGAGAAGATCCATCCGACGAGCACACTTACGAGAAAGCCGATTGTTGGCCCAACGCGAAGATCGCGTTTCTAAAGATCCAACCGAACCTGGCGTTCCCAAAGAAGAGCGCTCACTGCGTGGCAATGAGCCCAACTATGAGCCTAGGCTGATACAGCTCAAACGCGACCCTGAGTGGCGCGTTGTTCATTCAAAACGCAGCCCTCAGAAGGGAGCTGTCAAAACCAAACGCGACCCTCAAGGTCGCGTTCCAATTGAAAATGACTTTCAGAAGTCAGTTTCACAAACCAAACGCGACCCTCAGGGGCGCGTTCCAATTGGACATGACTCTCAGAAGTCTGTTTCACGAATTAAACGCGACCCTCAGGTGCCCGTTCAAACGAAGCATGACTCTCAGGAGTCTGTTTCACCAACCAAACGCGACCCTCAGGGGCGCGTTCAACCAAAACTTGACCCTCAGAGGTCAGGTTCATCATTTAAACGCAGGCCTCGGCCTAGTGTTTTCAAACGCGACCCTCGCGTTACTTCTCAAGAACGCGATCTTCAAGAGGTCCGTCAGGTTCAAAAAAGTCAGCGTGGCTTTAAAATTCACGTTCGACAAGAACCAATCTCACCTACCCAAGGGCAGGGGGTTCCAACTCCACCTCCAAGTCCGGGGAAAGTTTCCTCCCAAGTTCCTGATCTGCGGGAATTATTGTCAAGAGGAAAATCAACAGTGCAAGCAGCTCACTCATGTCAATGTGAGAGGCTCATCTCTGCAGTCCTGTCAGAATGCCCTTGTTGTGCATCCACACCTCGGCAGTCCGTATTCGACAGGTTGACAAACGTTGTTAGGCCTGCCAAACGACAACGCCGCAACAAAAAGAAGACAGTTGAAGCGGAATACCCTCAGGTCACTATCAACATGATCGGCCGAGGGAAAGCCTTGCCTACTGATTCCGATGAGTCACAAGAGAGTCATCACTCGACTGTCAGAGAAATTTGTGAGCTGAATGGGATATAGCTCCATACCCACCGAAGTTCAAAGCTCCAACCTTGCAACCGTTCGATGGCACAGGATCGCCAAATCAGCACATCTACTACTTCAAATCTCAAACTGGAGATGTTGTGGCGAACGATGCCATCTTGACTCGCTTATTCATAGGCACTCTTAAAGGAGTAGCCTTTGAATGGTTTATGAAACTGCCTGCTGGATCTATTCAGAAATGGGTAGATTTGGAAAGGCTTTTCTTGGCTAGGTTCTTTGAGGATGATACGGAAGTTTCTGTCCCAACTCTTCTCGCCACCAAGCAGAGGAAGGGAGAATCCATCAAGGCTTACGTGGAGAGATTCCGTAGCATGGCATTGCGATGCCCCTCAGGTATGACTCAGTCAACCCTGGTTGAAACTTGCAGGCACAACTTGCAAACTCAGCTCCTTGCCCAGATGGGGGTAGCGGAGTGTCGTTCCTGGAGACAGTTGGTTTCGCAGGGAGAACAAGCTGAAGAGATTGTAGCTCGGGTGAAAGCCGAGGAAGCTGCACAGCCCAAGCCGCAACAGCAACAGCAACAGCAGCGCAACCAGAACAACGCTCAGCGGTCTAAGGGAAAAGAGACCCTAGCAGCTGACTACTCTCGGGTACCA